GGAGGGCCTGGACTCCCTGCGCCCCCCCGGAGGTCGTGCCAACGTGGGAGTGTGTACATACGTGTCTATGGGGTGTCTCTGTGTCCATTCCCCTCTTCCCCCTTGGTCCTGGTTGTGCCAGGGCGGTGAGGATGATGATGATGATGGCTGTCACGGAGGTCGTGCCAACGTGGGAGTGTGTACATACGTGTCTATGGGGTGTCTCTGTGTCCGTTCCCCTCTTCCCCCTTGGTCCTGGTTGTGCCAGGGCGGTGAGGATGATGATGGCTATCCCTTTAGAACTGCTGAGCTGGAACGGAGCTCTGTCAGAACCAAAACCGAGGGAGAGGGAAGGCTAGACACGGGTGGGTGTCTGTGCATACCTAGGAAGAAGTCTTTCTACCTATGTATATAGATGCTGTATATGGCCTAATTTCAGGTTAGGGCTTATTGTCGGGGAAATGGTATATAAACACATATGCACATGTACACACATATGCATTTAGAAGGGGTTTGCAACTTACATACCGTACATTGTTCCAGCCCTGATTATGGGTTCAGTTCCTTAACTTCTTATCCGGCACGGTGAAATGGTTATATATTTTTGCTCTTATAGGATACTGTACAATTCTTGAACAATTCTGCTCAGTGGCACAGTTTATCCTGATGACTCCTTCACAGATCCTTGTACCCAAAACAGTGCAGTTTAGGAATTCGCAAAACACCTTGCTGTCTCCGGAGCCTAGCGAAGACGGGGCCGCACAGAGAGGGGTTTTGGTTTCTGCATAACACAGCTATGCGCACCAAAGGCTGCGAGGGGTCCGGATGGACCCAGGAATAGTCTTAGGAAGCAGCTGAGCATCAGAACTGGCCTTGGCGGTTTCAGAGGACTCAGAAAGGATGAACCGATCTCTACCGGGAGTTCTGCTGCTCATCCAAGGCCATGTGGCTGAGCCAGGCAGGGTCAGTGGAGAGACGTGGCTGTGCGGACAGCTAAGCGTCCACATGCAACAGGGAGGCCTCGCCAAGCACCACGGCTGGACCACAAAGCCGACCCAAGACGTCCGCTGCCTGAAGCAGGGCCAACCAAGAAAGATGTTCCCTTCTACTCCTCCGGTGATTGTATTCAGCTCCCAATGCCTGTCGGGTCGTTCTGGCCTGGGAGGCAGAAAATTCCACGAGTGCCTCTGTTCTAGGGCAGTGAAAATTGAATAACAAAGTACATAAGTAATAAGATTCTGCCCTTAAATAACACCCACCCTGCCTCACTCTGTCCAATGGTAGGGCCAGCTCTGCTCAGGAGGCTTCTCATTTCCTGCACATCCTTTTCTCTCTCTTTCTCTCCTTTCTAAGTTTCACCTCTTCATTCCTTTTCAGGGTTCATCACTCAAAACCCCAGGCATTCGGAGCTGCCGGCTTTCCGCTCGATGCCATGCAGCCTGGCTCTAGTATTGGCCACAGTGGGCCAGGAAACAGCGACGGGACCTCCTCTGGCTCCGGAAAGGGATCGGGGGAAGCTTCCTGCCAGCGTGGGGGGGACATTCGCATCCAGCTGAGCTCTCCTCTGGGAGAGACTGAAGAGAATGCCAGTCCCCGGCAGACTCCGCGAGTGGAGACCCAAAGCCGTTCCCACGCCCACTCCCACAGCGAAGCGAGGGGCGCCCCGGACGGTGCCTTGGAAACGGAGGAGCAAAGCGGGAGCAGCCTCTCGGAGCTCAGATACATCTTCCACTGGTTGCACAAGAGCCTCCCGTACCTCTTGATTCTGTCTGTCAAACTTCTTATGCAGCACCTAACCGGTAGAGTTCAAGTCACTGTCATGCTCTTGATACAATCCAAAACTTTTTTTTTAAAGGATCAAGGCTGAAAGAGAAGCAACCAGTCTGAGCTTCACCTGAAGCCCAGAGAATCTGGAAAAAGGAAAAAAAATCTGTCATATAAGCTGAATTCTGTGACCTGTATAGATTACACAAATTGAAAAATGTTAATGCTTTTTCTAGACATTTGTACAATTCTAGCTTTCCTTAGATTTGAGCTGTTGTACAGGGTGCTGAAACCTCGCCCGCCCCCATGGTCCAGGATCTTACTTAGCCATATTTCTAGCTCCAGATATGTGACCAGGCATCCTCAACGTGTTTTTCACACACGTTCATGGAATCCTAAGTGCTAGAAGCTTGCTTTAAATATAACAACAAAGCCAGCATTTTCGAATGGCTGAATGTTACCTTAAAGGCTACCTGTTAACTGGGGAATTCAAATGGGGGCCTCTTTAAACCGGTCAATCCTTGTATACTTTTTCCAACAGGGGAGACAATTTGCTGTTCCATTCCTATCATCATTTTGGGGGAGGCTGCCTCCCAAGTTTTAAAATCCTTATAATTTATGATTTCCAGTGGGAGTCATCCCTGCTCTGCTTAAATTCTCTGCTCAGAAAAAAAGAGGGTGAGCAAGCAAAACACTTTGGCTTTTTTCAGTTTGCTGGTTGTTGTGTACACCGGAAGGCCTTTGCAGACTGAAAAGCCAAACCAGTTGACCCTTCCATTGTAAAAAAACTGCAGATCCCCTTCTGGCAGATTAGGTTTGAAGAACCCCCCCCCCTTCTTGCTGCAGCCCTGTGATCCACAGGGCTGAAGGCCTTGGAACAGCTAAGCAATACCAACCGGTTAACAGCTGCTAGCCCAGTAATGTTATCAGTCAGGTCTCCAAGACTTTATATTCAATTTTATGACATGTAGGGTACAATCCCATACATGCTAAACTTCTTGGAACACAGTAGGGAAAACATTTCTCCAGATATTGGCTTGACATAGTTAAACTTTTTCAGAAATGAGAACTAGAAGCAAGTTGTTTGGTACTCAAATAGTTAGCTATGTGCCATCAAACCAGGATTAACTTTATAACAACCCTAATAGGGCTGGTAAGTGAGATATTTAAGGAGTGGTTTTACCAGTTCCGCTCCCACAATGAGTTTCCTTGGATGAATACAGATTCGAATCCCGGTCTGCAGAATCCTAGTCCATCACTCTATCCACTGGGTACCTTATTGCTTAAATACCGGCATCTAATGATTTCTGTGTGAGGTCTTGTTGTGTTCATGCTGCAGTAAATTGCCTCGAGTATACAGTAGCTACTTGATTTTTATTTTATTACCTAAGCAGTTTAATATTGCCGCATGTACTCTTTTAATTTTGCCCTCTTTAAGCAAAATTGAGTTCAATGCAATTTTTTTTCCCTTTGGTTCCTTTTTTGCGTTTGTAATTGACCCCTTTTCTCCTAATAGGCATTTCTCTGGGAATTGGGCTGCTCACAACTTTTATGTATGCAAACAAAAGCATTGTAAATCAGGTTTTCCTAAGAGTAAGTATTGACCTCTCCAGCGAGGTTGTAAGTATTTTTAAAGCTTAATTTCACCCAGGAGATTAATCCGTTCTTGACAGAAATGTGGAGCTGCTGCTGTTAGTGTTTGTTAAACTCCGAGACAAGAGCTGAAGACTTTTTTAAAAAAAGTTTTTAGCGATCAGAAAATGCAGAGGTTGAGAAATTTATTTATTTATTTATTGGACTTTATCCGAAAGGCTGTTCCCAGCTCCCGCCCTTCCTCATAGCTGGCTAAGGCCTTTGGGAAGCGGTCACCCAGCAGCACCCTGAAAAGGGTCTGGCCAACAGGTGAAATGAAAATCCCTTGCCAGTGCAGAAGAGAGGAAAAAGAGGGGTCATGGCAAGCAGCCTCTGAAGTGGTCCATTTCACCTAGGGGGCCAAGCAGAGATGGCGGCATGCTTTCATCCTGCTCCCAGTCACCCAAGGAGAAAGGAATGGAGGACGGGGAAGCCCTTGCACATGAAAACCAGCCTGCATGAGATTTCTTCTTTCAGTTATTTCTTTTTTTTGCCCCCAAAGATAAGGAAAAAAAACATTCTTGAAATCTGATGAAAGAACATACAGTAGGAGTCCCATATCTGAAGGGGATCAGTTCCAGCCCCTCTAGGGATGCTGAATAATGGAGATTATAGTGGACACTATTACAAGAGTGGGTGCTATACCTAGTGCGGTCTCTGGCTCCCTCTGGTGGTCACTTCTGGTAATGACACCACAGAAATATATTTTATTCACAAACTCTATACATAGCATAATCTCTGGCTCCCTCTAGTAGCGAATATTGGTAATTCAACTTAAAAATATAGTTTGGGAATTTTTCTTTTAATATTTTTAGACCATCACTAAGTCAATGAGCTGATCCTGCGGATAAGGGGGTCCTACTGTAATTAATGCTTGATGCAATACGCAGAATACTGTTTAGAGAACCCCATTCCCTATACTTGACCTTGGATACAGCCAGCCATGTTTTGCCCTTGGTACAAACTGGCAGCCAGCCATGCCTGATTCTGGCATACTCCATCCCATTTTTCTATTGTCTCAGCAATTAGTTAGTTACTGAGCTGTTTTAAAGGCACTGCCTCCTGCTTCCCCCCCCCCAGCAAAAATTATATTTATAAAATTTGGAATCCCCATTCTGTCACTTCTGTATTTGATACGTTCTCCCTTAATGCGTTGAAAGTGCCATTTTGACAAAAGGAACAATTTATGCTTGGAGATTGAGTTTGCTATTAATATATAAAGATTTTTGTCTAGTCCTGCTGCTGTTTATAACTTATGTGGCTTTACTCCCCCCCACCCTTTGCACTTTATTGCTATTATTTTTATTGGGTTCTGAACCATCCCTTTTGCAGTTTGCTAGAAAAACAGCCTCTTAATAATGTCCCCCAAAAACTAAATTGTCATGGATGAGGACTTACTTACTGTAAAGATTTTAGTGGTGGGAGGTGAATAGAAGGTTCTCAAATGATGGCTTTCCTTAAGGGGTCAGTGATGTTCAGGGGCTTCTAAAATGTCTCTTCAAGAGGCTTGCAGCTTATTTAAAATGTCTCTTCCTCTCGCAAATCCTAGAACCGGCCCAGAACACAACTATTCATAGTTGACACCACAGGAGAGCATCTGCACTCTGTTCTGTACAAATACATGCAATTATGATGCATTTTGAATTCCAAAGCAGCAATAAAACCATGAAAGTTTTTCTTTCTTGAACCTAGAAAGACTTTTGGTTAGGCTCTTGCCTGCCATGAGAAGGTTTTTCTAATGAAGACAGCAGCCTCTACCTCAGTGCGTGCGGGCAGAGGAATAGTTCTGTATACCCTGAGAAAGCTTACAAGAAAGTCCACAGACGTCTGTGGGCGCTCAGCTCCCTATGTGAATGACTACAGGCCCCCAAAAGAACCATAGTCCAGCATACTGTCTCTATAAATAAAGCAACTGAGCCATATTGAACTTGCAGAGTGATCGAAACCAACTTTTGACTCTTGTCTTGCAGGAAAGGAGTTCCAAGCTCCAGTGCGCTTGGTTACTAGTATTCCTAACTGGATCTTCTCTGCTCCTTTATTATACCTTCTGCTCTCAGTCACTTCATTACAGGTAATTACCATTTCATTCTCGCTGGGGATAAAGCACCGCTTGCTAACGGGAGGCTGAGTTTTAGGAAAGGACTCGTGAAGGAACAGGACGATCAGAGGTTTATTAAAATTATAGATGGTGCAGAGAAAACACCATCTATAATTTTGGGGACTTTTCTCCTTCAGCTTTAGAGCACCAAAATGACATTGACTGTCCTTAAATTCTAAGGTTTTAGAAAAATCTGTATCACTTCTGCGCTCTTTGGTTAGCCATTCAATTCCTGCTATGAGCTCTGTCCTCTACATGACTGCATTCCTCATACTGTCCTTAAATTCTAAGGTTTTAGAAAATCTGTATCACTTCTGCACTCTTTGGTTAGCCATTCAATTCCTGATATGAGCTCTGTCCTCTACATGACCGCATTCCTCACTGTTTCAACACGAGGTCCTAAGAGGAGGGTTTCCTGCTCTTTATAGGCTCTACACAGGAGCAAGAAGCCTAGGGTCTTGCTTGTTTGTAGGGCCTACACAGGATTTGGATCTGGCATTGAAACCATGAACCAAGTAGAAGGATAAGAAAGCTATGGACTCCTCTCTAAGCACGTTCACAGTACCAGTCATGACACCCCCATACTGCATCTGTCTATCTGGGTTCCCTACACAGTGGTGCCTCACAATACGATGTTAATTCATTCCGCGAAAATCGCTGTCTTGTGAAAACATCGTCTTGCGAAATGCAGTTCCCCACTGGAATGCATTGAAATCTATTTAATGCATTCTAGCGTGGAAAAAAATTGTCATCTTGTGAAAATCACCCCATAGGAAAACTGTTTTGTGAAGTGCGGACTAAGCTGTCAAAATCGCTGTCTTGCGAAAAATCGCCCCGTCTGTCAAAATCGCTGTCTTGTGAAAAACCGCCCCGAAAAAAACCACCGTCTTGTGAAGCACGGACCAAAACATCGTCTAACGAAAATCGCCCATAAGGAAAACCGTTTTGCAAAGCGCTATAGTGATTGCAAAAACCCGTCATCTTGTGAATTAACCGTTTTGAGAGGCAATCGTCTAGCAAGGCACCACTGTAACTGTGTTGTCCCAGAGGGGGGAACAGCCCTGGACCTCGGGTTTTGAGCTTCCTCTGGCGTGTAGGTGTTTTGGTTTTATCTGTATTCACACAAATATGGGAATACATGGGTTGATATTAGAAAGAACTGTGATAGTAACTTTAATATGGAAGCATAGTACCTGGGGTGCCTTTTCTTTTTAAGCTTGATCCTTTTAAGTCCCGCTGCGGATTTTACGAACCTCTGGGAGGTGCTCTGGATTGTGGGGATCACAGACTTCGTTCTGAAGTTCCTCTTCATGAGTGTCAAATGCATCATTCTCCTGCTGCCTTCTTTTGTCATGTCTTTTAAATCCAAGGTAAGAACATTCCGTTTTTTAAAAAAGTTAGCGCCTGCTATGAATTAGAAGCATCCCTTTCTTATACTGTAGCACGCCCAACTTCAGTCTGCCTCAGGTCCCAAAAAATATTGAGTTGTGTGCAATGGAAGGGAAAAAGAAGGGGGGGGGGACAAAGATAAAAAAAAAGGAAGAGAGGGGATTTTTTTAATCGTCTGAGAAACAAGATGTGAATATTTAGTAGAAATGACCAGAAAGGTGGCACATTTGCTATTTCAGAAAAATGTCCACCTTTCCCTGGAAATCTTCTAAAGATCTCTAATAAAGTTATAATTTAAATAAATAAATAATGAAAGGTATACAGCCAGGATCAATGGGAGCCTGCCTTGGAATACCAGTCCCTGGGGAACAAAAGCAGGAGATGGTTTCCCACTAGTTTTCCTACTACTTCAGGAAATGCAGTTCTGGAGAGCCCTTTAATCTGATCCAGCAGGACTGAGCTAAAACCATAAACCAGCAGCTCTTTGGTTGTTGATACCCACGGTTTCCCTGCTTCTCGATTCCAACCCATCAGGGATCACATGCTAGATATGAAAGCACTTCACAGCTGGGCAGTTTTGGCTCTATGCTGATAGTTTCAGGGCAAATGAATCCTTATGTATAAAACTTCTCTACTGATTACATGGGAAATTCTAGGCAACCAGGGACCACTGAGACATACTTATTCAACCACCACATTAGTGCCAAAGTACTATCTGGGCAGTTTACAAACTAAACTACACAGAGCAATAAACACGAAATACAACGTAAATACCAAAATCATTACATGTAGCTGCTGGTAACCCTTCTCCTGTGAATTATTCTTGTATTTTTTTAAAGAAAAAATTCTTTATCTTACATAAAAGATAATTCCACAACTTCACAGTCCGAAGATTCTAGGTTTTTTTTTTGTTTTTGCCCTGAACCTCCCACCTCTCAGCTTCATTGGGTGGCTCTACACACAAGGATTATTCTTGAGAGATGGCAGGGGAGCCTATTCACTTTTTCCACACCTTGGTATCATTTCGTGGCACCCTCTCCTACTCTCCTTATCTTCCTTGCCTCTTTTCATACCATGAAGATAAGAGGGTTCAAGTGAGAGGTGCTGATATCCTTCTTTATAATTAATGGCACCATTTGCATTTTGTCTAAAGTGGTCTTAAACTGCTAGTGGCCAGACATTTTCAGTTTTTTAATGCTTTAAAAATAAATAGGTGCCATTAAATGCATTTAGTAATTAGCAGGGGAAAGTACCTGATAAAGTAACGTCAGTTCAACATTAATGCCGACTCCTCCATAACGTTTTGAAGTATGATTGAAGAAAGGCAGCTATTTCACTCAGCTGCCACCATTTAAGCGAGAGGAGACAGGGTTTAACGACCGAGTAAAATCTGCTCTGCTTTCAGGCATAGGTGGCCAAGCGAAAATAAATCATTAGGTATTATCTTGTTAGAGGCGAAGAGTGAAAATCTTGCTTGATCAGCAGAGATCAGAGTTATTGATCTGGTGGAAGAATGTCTGGCAAGCATTGCCTGAAAAAGAGAGGTTTCTAGTGTTGCTGCTTATCTATATCAGCCCCGATGCCTGAAAAGGGAGACCCACACATTTGGCTTCTGCACGTGTCAAGCAAACCTTTTGAATTGCCAGAATCAGACCCACCCATTGGCTTTGGTCACTGAACTGGAAACCACAGGAAATTCAGCTATTGTTTTGAAAAAACTCTGGGGGAACACGAACGTATCGTTCCTCCCAGCTCCACAGCCCACAAATGGGGAGTCTCAACTTCATCCTAGACTTGTATTTTAGAGGTACTTCCATCTGCTGGTGACGGCTGCGTGACGGTTCCCCATTTCCCCGTGCTGTCCCTGAGGTGTCTGGTTTGCTCTCCTCCAGGGTTACTGGTATATGTTATTAGAGGAGCTCTGCCAGTACTACCGCACCGTGGTCCCCGTTCCAGTCTGGTTCCGTTACTTCGTTGGTTTGAAGGAGCTGGACGGTGCACTAGGGCAGAGTTTTGGAGTCTTGCTTGCTCTCCTCTATCTCATCCTAAAGGTAAGCACCCGTTTTCTCCGAAGGCCATTGTCCTGAAAACAGCCTCGGTCTGGATGCTTACAGAAGAACATAGCCTCTGTGTACATATAGTGTGTGTTTTTTAAAAAGAACTCCCCTCTGTTTCAGCCCTCCGTGCTCCTCATTCTGGTTCACAAGCGACACTATTATTCATTGCGTGTTACTAGAAACAGGGTTTGTATTGGTACGGTTCCTATTTAAACTTCCCTGGCATTAGTTTTGCCGGCACCAATAGTTTCTGTTTCGTACTGAAGTTTGGCTTATTAGGAAACTCAGGTAGTCCATGCCAAGGTAATGGGGGCAAGAAAGTGCCACCGAGGGAATGGGATAGGAGTGGGAAAGCATCAGCTCGTACAAACCCTGAGGTTTGCAGAAACAAACAAACAAAAACAAAACGAACAAACAAACAATAAAATAAACCCTAGCAGAATTACACTGCAAAAGCCCAGTAAAAACTGAGTGCACACAGTCGCTGCCGAGGGCTGAAAACCAGTTGGAAATTTTAAAAAAGAGTGTGAGAGAGAGAGAACTGGTGTGAGCAGAGGGGAACAGAATAGGAGCAGGATCTTAATCGGCACCCCTGACTGGTAGCCACAGGCCACGAAGACTTGCATGCCAGCAGATGGTGGGATGACAGAGAAGGGGCGAGAGGATTTGTTGCTTCCCTTGCACCAAACTAGTCTATACCTGGGTCCCTTTGTTGGTAGAAATGTGGCATACAAATAAAACAACAACAACAACAACAACAACAACAACAACAACAACATTTCCAGAGGGATGAAGGAGTCTGGAGACCACCTGAATTTCATGTCCCACACCCTCTTCTTAGATGAGGCCAGGGATTTTTAGTAATTGTTAAACGATGCCTAACAACTTAAGAATTTCTTTCAGTGTCTTTATTGGCCAGGATCCTATTGGAACGTCATGCAGGTTTCCACAGCTAATTGCTGCTAATTGACAAAATGTTGGCTGTGCAGTCATGCATGTGATAAGGCACACAACTGACATCTCCCCAATTAGTCACAGCAAGTTAGGAAAACCTCACATGAACACCAACAGCATTCCAGACGTGTATGAAATACTAAAAGGTCAAATGACCTGGAGAAATCTATGCAGTCGTTACTTCTCATCTTCATTTTTCAGCTCCTGAGCTTCTTCGGACACCTGAAAAACTTCAGGCAGGTCTTGCGGATATTTTATACACGGCCCGTGAGTATTCTTGTGCCTTTGAAAAATGAAAGCCAGATCATGAAATGCAGTTGTTTCCCCCTTCTGAAGATCCTGACATCTCAACATGAATCAGTCTGGGGGAAAAATGTTTACTACAAAGGTCCTCAATGAGTCCAAGTCTGCAACCACGGCTTGGCTCCTGAGAGTTCCCTATGTCCATTTAGCACACTGGGTGACCCCTTTAGCCCTCCAGCATCCCCAACCACTGGCCATAATGGCTAGGGCTTGTGAGAGTTGAAGAGGGACAACATTGCGGGGTCAAGGTTGAAAAATACCCCCTTGGCAGACCACTGCCGTCGTTCAGACTGTCAAAGAGGGCTAATGGAAGCCATGGGGCACAGCAGCTGAAAGCGTGGGGCTGGGGACTCGGGAGACCTCCCGTTGCTACGGCATCCTCCAAGGTGGAGGATGACCTTGTTTAGGCCTCTGTCTCTTGGTCTGATCGACCAGACATGGCTGTGATGGGGAAGGTCCAGATGCACCCCGGCCTTTGGCCGAGGGCAGAGAGGCGGGATATGCGTGTAACTCACCAAGAAAATAAAAGGAAAAGAGGGCAAGAGGAGGCTGGCATCCTGAGATAGCAACGAAAGTAACTTGCACCCAAATTGCATTCGGATTCATAGATGGAGACTTCTATCCACAGAGACGCTTCGGTTCCTTTCACCGGAGGCTGCAAAGCAAAGGCTCTCAGGCTGGGAGGTTAACGGGACAGACTGTGCTTCCCCGGAAGAATTGCTATCCCAGTTGGAAAAAGCAAAGCCCCTCCCCTCCCATGTAGATCTGAACGAGGGAATGTTGGCGGGCAGGCAGGGAGGTTTCCTCCCTCGGGAGGGTGAGACACACCGTAGGGCTCTAGGCATGTCAGTCTTGCCTCTTCACTGCCTCAAGACTTTCAGAGCCGTGCTTTAACCCAACAGAACCAGGGGTGAGGAATGATGGGGTCCCTTGGGACATCTGGGGAGCCACAAACTGCCCACCTGAGTTTTACACGATTCAGGACCAACCCTGGGCGAAAGACCTGGCAGCCCTCCACCTCTTTCCTAATTAGAAAATAGATCCACAGCCTTGAGAGTGGATGCAGCAGAAGGGCTGAATTAGTAAATTCTGGGCACTCAACTGTGCCGATTCTCACCGCCTGTCCAAACAGCTGTCTCTACAACATCAGGACGAGAATGCTGTTTGTAAAAGGTTCCTGTACCTACAGGCAACTAGGATCTGATGGTACTCAGCCCCTGTTCCCTGGAATCCTAATAAGGTCCCAAAGCAAGACCACGCAAAGACTTGAGTGGCCTCCCGTCCAGCTCCTTGGAAAACCAGGTGGTCTCAGTTTTTCCTTCCTTCTGCCACTCTGCAGAGCTACGGGGTGGTGGCGAGCAGAAGGCAGTGTGCCGAAGTGGACGATCTATGTTCTATCTGCCAGGCTGAGTTCCAGAAGCCGGTTCTTCTCATCTGCCAGGTAAGCTGTTCCCTTCCCTTTGCCCAGAACTCGCAGAGTTTAAGCCGCCCACGAGAGCAGCGAGGAAGAGCAAATGGAGCAGGGCGTGAGCGTTCTTGGTACTGGCAGTGACGCCACAAGCCTTTTCTCCTGCAGTTCCCTACAAATGGAAATAGATTGTCTCCCACCTGTCTTTTCAAGGGACCTAGGGACAGACATTCAAAAGGCCCATCAGCCTTCTGAATGCTCTAGCTAGCCTCAAAAACCCCATGCAAGGGGGAGGTCATTAAAAACGTCACCTTTTGTGTGCTCTCATGAATGGCAGCATGAACCCCTCTCGTTTCAGCACATCTTTTGCGAAGAATGCATTGCGCTGTGGTTCCAACGAGAGAAAATCTGCCCGCTCTGCCGGACCGCCATTGCCGACCACATCCAGAAGTGGAAAGACGGAGCCACTTCGGTGCAGCTACAGGTGTATTAGAACCTCTGTTGGAGACGGGCTTTACAGTGTAAACTCACTGAAAAGCTAGGCTTACAGTTTTAAGGGAGCAGAGATGCAAAAAGGGTGAACAGAAAGGATGTAAACTCAGGGCTTTTAAAAGTCTCCACTGTTGCCCAACACTAGGCCCCACGGGTCCGTGCCGATGCAAAGAGGAAGCCTGAAAACTGCTTTTCCATAGCATACCTTGCATCATCTTCCACGTGTTATTCATCTTTCTAATGCTTTTTTTTGGTTGTGCCTCCGGAACTTCTTCGAGCCACTGATGATTCGGCACCTCTAGTATTCATTCAGTGTTTCAAAAGGCAGTTAAACAGGCTCTCTTGAAAAGAGACCTTGAGTACGGCAGCTGAGAGGACAAGAAGCCTGTCTGTTCGTGTCTTAAAGAGAGAAAGGACCTCTTCCCTCCTCTGGATGCCGTTCCTCCATTTAACTAGGCTTTCTACTCTAAAGAAACCTGGCATGTTCTTTGCTCTCAAGTTCCATAGTTCTATATTTCAATGATGTAAGGAAACTTTTCTACTTTTGTAAGCCTGGATTTTTTAAAAAAGCAAAATATTGAATACTATATTTTGTCATAATGAGTTAAGATTTTACTAAAGGGGAAAAGATTTATTTTAGTAATACTTTACCAAAAAAAACTCAAAATGCCCAACAACCTATAAGTGCACCAAACAGTTGGAGAAAATAAACATACTTTGAATGTCTGGATTTGGAACGTCTTATTTTAGCCTTTCTGCATTTATAAAATTTCCCGTCATTTAAAGTTGCTTAGAGCCTGAGCCGGCAATCAGAACTCTTCCAGTTGGTTTGGACAACATTCCTCATAAAGCATCCTCATTTAGCAATGTTGTCCAGAGATTACAGAGAACACAGCTTTAATCTTCGGCAAGGTACCACGATGCTGTTTACCCCAGGGAATAACAAACCTGATAAGTAACTTTTAAGTCCTCAGACATTCCTGGTTGACGGTGTCTTCATCAGATCTTACACTTGATGCCACAGCTCCACACATTAACGAGAGGGTCTAATGGGTTAATATTAACATTTCAACAAACCTCTGGCTTATAGGATTGTGTTCAACTAGAATCAAGATTCACTAGCTGGAATCTACTGCCAAGTGGGTATCCTGAATTACAGAAGGCTCAGCCCATTAATTGATATACGCTTCCAGAACTAAAAGAAATTCAGTCCTTCCTGTGTTTTTCCCCTCAAAAACGTTTTTAGCATTTCATCACAGCTATGGACAGTGAGGTGCGGTAGAGTTACTTCCTAATTATTACTGTCACAGAAGTCTCACATATGCCTGTGTGCTCTAGAAACAGATCAAGTTTCAAGTATAAACATGTTTTTCGACATTCTACAAGAGTCAAGAGACCCTACGGGGCTGGGGCCCCCTGGGTATTAAACTTATCAGCAGGGCTCCTGCTCAAATGCGTGGTTCAAACGGGGATAACACGATGGGCGGGACTTCACTTACATAGTCCTATGTCATCATCTGAGCTCCGACTCCATCAGCACGCTGGAGTGACTTTCCTGGAAGCTGTAATTCGGCTGCACTACATAAAAGCATGCACTTTTCTCTCTCACACTCTAAAGAACCATCAAATTCAAGTCTGCTTCTGATTTCAGGAACCCATCCATTTTCCCTCAGCCACGAAGACGGCGAGGATGGAAAGTCAAAATCCTCAAAGCAGGAAACAAAAGAATAGAATCACGAATGATACATTTGTTCAAAGTTTCATTTAATTGCTATTTACATCCATTTGTTTTGAAATCAAGTATATTTCATTACAGTAAACAGTACAGAATGAAACGCAAGAAAGGTGTCCACCCTCATCCCATTCCTAGTAAGGCAGCTGTAGAATGTGATTCTTTTACAGATGGCGACAGAACTCACTGAGGTCTGGCAGAAAGAACGCTTCCTTTAAAAAGTACCGATGAAAATGTGCCCGCACCCCTTATGCTACCACAAAGAGGAACACGGGTCTCTGAAGATACCTGCAAGGACACCTGCATCCTCTTTTGGGCCTCGTCAAAAAGAAAAGAAAAAAAAAAGCTCAGGAGTAAACTATTCACTCCACCTTAGGATGTGGGATGGAGCTCTTGCTATGCCAGCTTTCCATCGACCATTTCAACACAGCTGCTACCACCCAAAAGGCCTTACTACTAGGGACTCTTTCAGCAAAAAGGGGGTGCTTGCAGGCTGACCGTGATGGGTAGACTAACGTTCACTGTATTGACACAAGCGGCAGGATAACAACTAGGGCAGCCAATGATGCTCCACCACCCCCTTTTTAAGAACGGTTCATGTGTTCACTCAGCAGTCTTATAATCAATCTCCACACTGCATTAAGCATGTCCCTAAAGATTTCCCCTTCTTACTCGAGAGTCAACAGGCACAGTCCCAAACTGGGCCAATGCAGACAAGAGATTCAAGCCCTGCACCACTGCCAGTTGCCCCTATTCCACAGTGATTAAAGAACCCCCCCCCCGAAAGATTCCATGAACACCAAGTAAATGTGAAAAACAAACCTGTGTTTGGAGGTGGAGTTTTAGGCTGAAAACTAGGAAAGGGGGTGGATTTAAATCCCAACCATACACCCTGGCCCCAATCAAGAGCAAGGCTGCATGTCTACATTTTGAGGGTTTTTAAAAATAAAATGTTCGGCTTTATGCAACACGGTTAATGCAGCATGGAAACTCGGAACCTGGAGATTATCCCAATGTGGAAGGCTCAGGAAACGAGCACTCAGACCTAGCCAACCCGGCCTCTCCTATATACCTTTCCCTCCCCGGGGCCGTCAGCGTGCATCCTTATAGCCAGTGAGATAAAGATGGAGAGCTTAAGCTGGAAGAGTTCACCTCAGCTTGCATGCAGGCTTGGCAGCTGGGTGAAGTCCATGGATGCCGCCCCCCCCACACACCCCAGCATCAGAGAAAGCAAATGGCCACAGATGCCGTGAGCCAGATTTCTACCTTAGTAACAAAAGAAGGCTGCCCCTCAACTGCCCACCTGGAAAAAAATAAAAAAGGGATGCTAGCCAGACGCGGGTGGGCTGTGAACAGCTTCAGAGGGATGGGCCCAACGTAACAGGACAGACACGGACTTCTGCACCCATCCTCAGAGGCTGCAAGGACTCAATGCATTCGCCTTCTACAGCGGCAAACGGCCTTTCCAGATGTTCTTCGACTGCATCACCTTGCCACTGACTGGGTCAGGTTAAGACGGAGCCCAACATCTGGACAGCCACCAGCTTTCTGTGAAATAACACCACCCGATTACTGTAACACCTCCTCCCTACCCAAACACATCTCATGGGGTCAGAGCACCCTGAGCCCGGATTAACTTCCTGTTTCTTTCTACCTCACCCATGAGCCGCAGAAGGCCATCCACACCGCTTCCCTTTCCGTATCATGGATCCAATGAAACTAGAACAGAGTTCAAGTGGTCAAGCTTTAATACTTAAAATATGTAATTAGCCTCAGCAGATATTAATCCCAGTTATTATTATTTTTAATATAATGGTACAAAAATCTGTAAAAATCAAATTATAGCAAAAGTTCCAAGATTATAATTAAAAAAGCACAGCTTGTACAAAATAAATCTTAATCATCATACCCTAATGAAAACTCTTAAGACTTTTTTTTTTTTTAGAAAAAGAAAGCACTTAAATTCACCAAGAGTCATGGCGTTTCAGATGCCAGCATTCTTTCTAAAGTTGTACAAGAGATACAATTCCACTCCTTCTGAAGTCAACACCCATCGGCTATATACACAGGGCTGGGGGGGAAACAAGGCTCAAATATTTACTTTTATATAAATAAATACAAGATAACCCATATTGCATAGTGTGTGCATTCTGTCCCCGGTCATGATTCCATAGTGTTTTCACAGTTTAAAAGAAGATGAAAAAGGATATATGTGGGACTGAATAAACTGCTCCAGCAAAATAGTCAAAAGCTAGGAAACGTGGGCTCCAGAACACGCCGCCACCCTCGGTAAACCCCAGCCGGGATCTGGTTATATTCAGCTATAGCAGGATTATATGCGCAGGGTCTCAAAAGGGAGTTGTATGCATTTCAGGCAGAAAGGGGGGAGTCTCGCCATACCAACCAACCCGGCCTTCCGAGGGCTTCTGTTCTATTTCAACAGGGTTTGGGACGCCTCAACAACTCCTTATTTTCAGTCACCAGAAAGCTCCAGGAATTAAGCTAAAAGCAATAAACCTGTCTTGCATCACAAACCTGTATGGGGCCGGGGAGCAGGGGTCTGGGCTGTTGAGCCCAGTCGCCGTGCAGCAGTGGTTTTGACCTCGGGCTCCTCCTGTTTTGGATAACAACTCCCACAAGACTCAATCGCCACGGCCGAAGGTCACGCTTTCCCAGAACATAAGTCCGGAGTATCTGGAGGAACAGCGATGAAGGGTCGCTGGTCTCCAACGTCGGAGAAAGCGTGCATGTCTTAACGCCACTCCCCTTCAGGAAAGGAAAAGCTACCGAATTCAACACAGAGACATTTAGTGGAATGGAGTCATCACCCCAGGGGTGATGACCTTTTGGGCCCCACCCCCCCAAAGGTTTAATTTGGGCCAAATTGACACTGTAATCATTAATGAACCGCCATTCAATCCTATTGTGTCACTTTCAGTTGGGACTTCAGTAGGACCCCCCCTTTATCCGCAGGATCAGTATCTGCTCATGCCATGTCTGAACATATTAAAAGGAAACCTCTGCTCTCTATATCTATCTATCTATCTATCTATCTATCTATCTATCTATCTATCTATCTATCTATCTAGAGAGCCA